AGAAAGAACCAAGAAAGACGCAGCTTGTTGGCAGCCAAACACCACCGCCTTCTCATTAGAATTCTCACCTTCAAAGGTTCTGTTCCAAGTCTGCTGGATTATCTTCCCTCCATCCTTCTTGCTGTAACCTGCTCTGAGCACTTCATGTAAAGCCAAGACGTAGAGGAGGATGGCATCATGGAATCCTTCGACAAACATGTTAACCTGTGATGGAAAGCCAGAGGCGGGAGTCAGAACACCAAGAATAAAGGACTGGAATAACGGATGCAGTCAAATGGCTCTGAAGGCAATTAAAGCAGAAGGAGAGTCAGCACACATCTTACTCTGGTTTTCTAGACACTAGTTTACTAACTCATTTACTAGGGAGCTCTGGTGGCCTAGTAGCAAGAGGCTGTGCTGCAATCCCAGTGGCACTCAGTTTGAGGCCACCAGTTGCTCCTCAGGAGAAGAATGGGAAATCTCCTCCCATGTAATTAACTACCTCTAAAAACCCACCATAGCGACAGCCTTGGGTCAGTTGTGACTCGATGGCACACAGCAGTTTACTGAGAGAAAGTCTTTGCCTCTTTGGGAATCTGAAGAATAGGCTAAATATCACAGAAGTCAAGAAAAACTTATCTACAGGCTCACCACAGCTGAGTTGGAACCAACTCATATTTTCAAAGCTATATGTCTCACAGAAGGCGACTGCCCATCGTTCCCCCACAGACCACTGAGTGAACTGGAACTGACTAAGTATTACAGGTGCCTTCATTCATGGTTCCCTCAACAAAATTCTCTTCTTCTCCTTTTCCTATCCTGTTGTTGTTGTTGTTATGTGCCGTCGAGTCATTTGCAACTCATAGCGACCCCATGTACAACAGCCCTAAACCCTGCTCTACCCTGTACCAATCGCACTGCCTCTGACACACCCATCCCAATTACCCCAGTCACTGAATCAATCCATCTCATAGAGGGTCTTCCCCTCCTGCGCCGCCCCTCCACCCTCCCAAGCATGATGTCCCTCTCCAAGGACCTATCCCTCCTTACAACATGTCCAAAGTATGTCAGACGAAGCCCCAGAATCTTTGCCTCCAAGGAGTAGCCTGGCTTAACCCTCTCCAGGACAAAACTGTTTGTTTCCTTAGCAGTCCATGGTACATTCAATACTCTTCTCCAGCACCACAGCTCAAAGGCGTCAATTCTCCTTCCATCCTCCCTGGTCATTGTCCAGCTCTCTGACACATAACAAGTGATTGCAAAGACCATGTCCTGTATCAGATGCACCTTAGTCTCCAGAGAGACACCGTTGCTCTTGAGTACTTTAGAGAGGTCTCTAAAAGCAGACTTTCCCATCACAGTAAGTTTTTTTATTTCCTGACTGCTGTTGCCAAGAGTGTTGACCGTGGAGTCGAGCAAACTGAAGCTGTGAACAATCTCAATCTCTTCACCATCCATCCTGATGCTACCAATTGGTCCAGTGGTGAGAATCTTTGTCTTCTTGACATTGACCCTCAGTCCATACTAAAGGCTGCAGTCCTTGACCCTCTGCACCCTCAGGTCAATCTCCTGCTTGGAGCCCTTGTCACTTTCCACTGTCCATTCCCCCCAAGATCTCACTACACTCTGAATGGGAAAATTACTAAAACAGCAATAGGAATGCATGAATTCATATTCAAATGTTTATCGAAGCTCACTGGGTCAAAGTGCTGAAGGTCCTTCTATTAACAGTCGCATCTCAATTTACCTTATCAATGTGGGAAAATCTGAAAGTAGGGACCTCTCCAAATTATTAGGAAGTAATGATGTCAGTTTGAGGAGTAAAATATGTCTGATTCAGGCGATGGTCTTTCCACTTACTTGCTAGGCATCAGCGAGCTGGACAATGAATAACAATGACAGAAGAAGAATTGATGCCTTTGAGCTGTGGTGTTGGAGAAGAGCACTGGACATCCTGTGGATGGCCAGGAGGACAAATGGATATGTCTTGGAGAGAATGCAGCCAGAGCGCTCTTTGGAGGCAAGAATGATGAGGCTTCACCTCACATACTTTGGCATGTTGCTAGGAGGTGCTATCCCTTGGAGAAGAACATGATGCTGGGAAGTATGGAAGGTCAGCGAAGGAGAGGAAGACCCTCAACCAGGTGGACTGACACAGTGACTGCCGCAATGGGCTCTTGTGTGTTAGGAAGGGTGAGAATGGTGCAGGACAGGACAGGGTTCAGATCTTTTGTTGATAGGGTCACTATGAGTCATACTCAACTCTATGGCACCTAACAACAACAACAGCAGTGTGTGTTCATATTCTTCTAACGTATCTAACTATTCCCTATCCCCATGCTCCAAGGACAAGGATGCAAAACTGGCCTGGACTGCCAGTATATGTAGTCCAGTTGAGTCTTAAGTAACACACTCTTTGCTCTCAAAACAGGGAGCTATGAGGGTGTAGTCCATAGGGAATCATGCTCCTAACCCAAAGGCTGGTAGTTTGAATCCACCCGCAGCTCTGTAGGAGAAAAATGGGCAGTATCCTCCCCTACTATGTACAGACTTGGAAACCCAAGGGAGGGTAAGCTTTGAGTGGTTCCAATTCAACACCAAGGAGAGAAAGCACCCTCAAAAAACTTACAGTCTCAACAAGACAAATTCTGATCCTGTAGTACTGTGTTGTACTATCAACCAAATGGTCAGTGGTTCAAATCAACCAGCTGATCCATGGGAACTAAATGGGTGGTCTCCTTCTGTAAAGAGCACAGCTTCAAAAACCCATGGAGGGCTGGTAAGAATTGGAATTGACTGGGCAGCTGTGGTAGACTTTAGCAGTGGTATAATTAGAGAGGAGATTCTAAGTAAGTAACCAGCTGCTAACCAAAAGATCAGTGGTTCAGGTCCACTCTAAGGCACCTTAGAGGAAATACCTGGTAACCTAGTTCCAAATAATTCACAACTGAAAATGCCACAGAGCACAGCTCTTCTCTGACACCACATAGGATCACCAAACAGCAAGTGAATGGCTGATGTTGGAGGGAAAAAATCAGTCTCTTTGAACGATGTTTTCTTCCTCTGTTTATTGATAATAAGACTAACATCTGCTTCAAGAAGTGGCTATAAGAATTATATGGCATATCTATTTACTCTTATCCTATTTTCCTCCCAACGCCCCCTGTCTGACTTGTTTTATAACAGTGGTACTATGCAGTATTTGTCCTTTTGTGACTGAGATAGTTCACTCAGTATCATGTGCTCCAGGGTCCCCCATGTTGTAATATTTTATGAGTTCACTGTTTTTCAGTGCTGCATAGTATTCCATTGTATGACTATACCATTGTTTTACTATCCATTCATTTGTTGATGGGCATTTGGGTTCCTTCCAATCTCTTTGCTATTGTAAATAATGCAGAAATATTTGGAATAGATGAAAGAAAGAACTGTCTAAAATGAATATATGATTGAGCATTATACATACAACAACAGTGCAGAATAAGTGATATATCATTGCAAAGAGGACTGGGGAGAGGGGAAGATATGTAATTATGCAATAAAGAACTAATTTTTTTTAAAGTGAACTGGTAGAAGGGGAAGGGAGGGCAAAGGGGTAAAACGTGAAACAATGAATGGATGAATATATAATTTCTCTGTAAATGTTCATTGAAATCACACTTAAAATAAATTGCATTAAAGAAAAAAGAATTAAATGGCATAAGCAGCATAAAGTATTGGGTACTGTAGCACCCGTCACATATCCAGTGTTCATAAATTGCAAGCTAGTACTATTAGTACTATTTTCTGAATTCTCAGTGGTCACTAGTCATCTAAGGTCTGTTCAAGATATAGTAGAAGTATAACAAGAACAAAGAAGCAGAAGAGGTGGTCCATGTATGAAGCTGGAGACAAGTATCAGGAGAGGCGGTACAGCAATGGCAAAAGTGTAAGTGAGCTTTGGGTGAATGAAGACGTGTTCCCTGGGATGGGATGCTGAGTGAAGCAGAGGGCAGAGGTCAAGTCACACATAGCCAGGCACCATGGCACTGGCAAAGCACTGGGCTAGGATTGGCATGGAGAGGCTCACTACTGGATTTGGCTAGAGAGAAGCAAAGTCATACCACATTCAGGAATACGGACTTTCTCCTGCCATCATTTGATTGAGTTCCATTTGCCTGATCACTACATTCCAAGGCATGCTTGGTAGCAGCAGTCAAGAAATCAAAAGACAGGGACAGGTTGCCTTGGGAAAATCTGCTGTCACAGGTCTCTTCTATGTGGAAGTGTCTGTACACTTGACAGCCTTGCTCCGGAATGTCAGTGTAAAGACAAAGGTATGCCTAACACAAGCCATGGCCTTTTCAATTGCTTTCTAGGCATATGAAAGTGGGACAATGAATAACAATAACAGAAGAATAGTCCATGCCTTTGAACTGTGGTCTGGAGAAGAATATAGACTATCCCATGGACTATCAAAAGCGAAGCAAGTCTATCTCAGAGGACATGCAACCAGGATGCTATTTAGAGGCAAGTATGATGAGGATGGTACAGAATAGGACAAGGTTCATATCTGTTGTTTAGTCACTTTGAATTGTAGTCAACTCGATGGCACTTAACACCACCACCAATAAAATCTTTTAGCTCCATGAATAAGTGTGGCTGTGTCATCTGCATATTGCATGAGTCTTCCTCCAGTTCCTCATAGTCCAGCTTCTCATATTATTTGCTCATCACAAGAATTGAATGTTGTTGTTTACAGAGGCTGTCAACTACAACTCCTAGCAACCCTACGACGAATATATTGAAACTTGCCCCATCACCAGTCTCTGCATGCCCCTGCCTATTGATGCAGTTTGATGGAAAGATACAACCCTGGTGTATAGTCTTCCTGATTTTACCTACGGAGTATCCCCTTGTTCTCTTCTAAAGACTGTTTCTTGGTCTATGTACAGGTTTCACATGAGCGCAATAAGTGTTCTGGGATGCCCATGCTTCTCAATATTACCCATAATTTGTTATGATCTACACAGTCAAATGCCTTTGCATAGTCAATAACTAAAATAGTTCTTGGGACTATAAAATCAATTAGTGGGTGTTGCCTGTTACTCTCAGCCTAAATCTCAGTCAATATTTTCATAGGCAAAGAAGAATAACGAAGAAAAAACCATCTACTAGTCAAAGATCATTTTCTTTGATTTGGGTTTGCTAACTGAATTTTCTCAAAGAAGATGAAATTTTCACTT